AAAATGGATCTTCGTAGCCCCACAGAATCTCGCCAACTGTTTTGCGTACGATTAGGTGTTCTCCGACCCATTGCTCTAGTAATGCAATCATGCGATCAATGACTGAGGGTAGCCAACCGAATTTTGTGTCGATCGCTAGGTACCCCAAGCTCACAGTAGTTACAACATCAGATTCTGAACCGGCGGACATGGCTGGTTTGAAATAATATTCCTTTACTTCTTTGTACTGGAGAGTGCTGGGCATAGCTTGTGGAAGGATGTCTTTCTTGAAGCGGCGTTCCTTATAGGTGTACGGTCCTAATTGGCGAAGTATAGGCTTTTCGCCTGCCTGAAACTCGATAGGATTTGTTAGGTTGAACAAGTATGCCTGAAAATAAATGTCAATCGTCGGCTGAACCCATTGTTCGTAGGTCACAGTCCCTGGGACCAACTCTGTCTGTTCGTAGACTATAAATCGCATGATCGGATCGAGAAGGATCAGTGCGGAAACTAATGCAATTGCAAAGCCTGTCAAGGCGGTTGCGATGATAAATAGGCGATTCTGATTCATGGCGCTAGCGTCACTCAGCCTCACGGCTAACGTACGCGTTTTTCGTCAGTGAATCAATCACACCCAAATTATAGTTGATCTTATGCTGCAGATGATTGGTCAGGCCGTACGCCATAGCAGGACGACTTTCACTGGTGTTTGTATGGTAGACAGTTTCGTGTGCTTCTGCAGCTGTATCAGCACAGAAGTGCACAGTGTCTGACGTAAGAGCTCGTGGTTTACACGACCTTGACAACCTGCTATTGTTTTTGTCAATAGCTCAACTTCATCGCAGTGCTGGCTAGGGAATTCATTAATGTGGTTGCAGAATGATGCGCTTTGCAATCAGCACTGACGCGGATGGCAAACTAAGCATTCAGATAGTTAGCCATTATGCTAACACCGTTGGGTGACACATCCACTTTTCGCTGTCTATGTCTCCATCATAACCTGCATTGTCAGCCAAAGAAACAATGGAAAATGAACGTAGAAATAAACACCACCAAATGGGAAATGGCCATAAAATGTAAGAAGGAGAAAACTGCACACTTACTGGATGAAAGGATACATATGTAGGGTGATAGACCTAATCCATACGCGTCATTAGCTTCAATATTGCGAAGTCTAATATTTCTGACGGCGCAGCTGTTCTCCTGGTATCTCCTTGGAATAGAACGTATCCCAGCGGGATCAACTCTTTTAATTTGTTTTTACTTGCCTCCCAAAATGAAATCCACTGACCACTCTGAGGTTTCACTCAATGAAGCCAGTGATACCTACCGAAGTAGACGCTCAATTAGCACTTAATGAGCGTGATTCACTCTATAAGGAGAATTCAGATTGGACGGCCGTTCCAGTATGTCAACAGAGAGTTCTACATCAATCAATGACTGGTGGACAGCCTCATTGCTTACTGAGTAGCCCTATCAGATATTAAGTAGCCTGCACCGCCACTTGTGGTCAAATATCATCAGTATCAATGCTGTCGACATATAATAACAATGACTCCGCTCCATAGATTGGCAATTATCACACTGAAGCGTGGTACAATTTGATCTTATCTTATAGGCTTGTATCACGCTACCCCACAGACGCATCGGACTTTCAGAAGCCACAAGGATTTTGAACAATGAAGACAAGGCAATTAATGGTTTCTCATTAGTAAAGAAGCTAGTGCTTGACAGGTCCCGTAGTGTGAACGGGTGGACAAGTTGGGAAACGAAGTAACGTTAATTAAATTAAACAAGTGTTGACAGACTCCCCAAGAAGTTACACTGAGCACAATGATTGCTATGTTACACTGGTGAGGAGTCAAAAGCGACTATATAGTGTAATGCAACTACATGAGTTCATCATCGAGACGTCTTTCGAATATTGGTAATATGGATAAAGGAAAACCATAAGTAGGGAGAAAGCTCTGACGCTGACGGCCACAAAGTGAAAATAAATCCCGGCGGAATTCCAACCAACTATTCTGTTTGACCAGTTTTAGCTGATGGACTCTCAGTGTGGTGTGGCTGTATAGTTTCAGGTGGGGACAAACATTGATTACACAGGATCTGAGAAGTCGTTAACAAATCACCACACAGGCACCGGTATTCACCCCCTGTAGATCCCAATCATTTTCAGCCTCAGTTGGTAAGGGACATGGAACAACCACTTTACATTTTCGGATGCCCTTTATTGTAGAATTTCGAATGCGATATGGTCAGGCTTTTGGCAAATCTGCTAAGCATGGATGGCGTAATATTATTGACACTACTATCTATATGCTTTGAGCATCATCGAGAAGATGCAACAGTCACATCCAAGATTCACCTCCGCATTAGACCAAGATGCTGAGTGGCTTATCTGGACGATACCTTGGCCTGGCGTGAACAACCAAGGTTGTCTTGTACCAGCACAACAACGTCGCATGCAATAAAAGCAAGTTGCGTGAATTAACCCATGGGTCTGTATTCGCATATTGATTGACGGTGTATGCTAAATGTCCGTCACGGTCTCCTTGGAATAGAGCTGGTTCTAACCCGTCCACTCACATATCCTGTCAAGATCATCCTGCTGTGTTACGTGGTCACCCGTTCTATTAATGGCCGGCCATATCGAGATCATCAGTAAAGAGTAAGAAATTTGAGGTGGGTACTCTCCTCAGGTTGTTCACCTAAATCAAGAATAGATGTTGGCCGAATAATGGACCATTTGGCACTCTGCACTGAAATTCAGTAGGGTCAGAGATCTCATTGTGAACTCTTAAATTCAGGTTAAGTTGCCCATCTAACCATGGACTGTATCACGAATTCCACAGTTCTGAAGTTTGTAAGGAGAATACGTTGGTTCAGACGATCGAACAACGTTGAGAAATCCGGATAAACTGCGTAAACTCCCACACCGCTATCGACAGTTTCAGTCCAACCTGAGCGAACAACTATCATTTTTGTAGTGTAAACCGGTTCTGGTGAAGACGTATTCGCATAATCCACGAGTGTTTTGCCTATAATGGCATCCATGACTTTCTAAACCACCGGAGGACCTCAAAGTTGGAGAACTTGGAGCCACTAGGCTCTGAGTTCCAGCCCAGCTCAGGCTATCTCCCACTGATGTGTCCCAACCAAGACGAAACCGCGGTCTTGGGGTGCCAGTGTTGGGATGTGCAACACCATAATGTTTCCACCGGAGGACCTGTTATCTGATGACAGTTGGCCAAGTCTACGCCACTCCCCCTTGTGAATGGGCGTGAAGATTCCGTGGCTCCATATTGTTGGAACTCTCAACTCATCGGGACAGTTGGAAAACTGAGAGAGAAGTTTCGCCAAATCCAGCGCTTTTTGGTGGATATTATCAGAGCCACTAGAGGGATGCTGGTACATGGAAACTGGTCTCTTCAGAACGTCTGCGTTCATATACGAGATATGGCTATAATCCTATGGTGGCAAAACTTGCGTGAAAAGCACATACGATGAAATTGTACCATGGAAGCTTGGGGAGAATCGCAGATGTAAAGCATTGGTCGCTTCTATTACAGTTTGTGCTTTTCCATGTGACGTGTGTAGGGCAAGAATCTCACACTGCAATTTACGGAGTTTGCTAACGTGTCTGTAAAGGAAAATCGGATTTGAACAGAAGTGCACGGTTAGATCCAGTTGATGCCTTAGTTTATCATCGCCTACCAGTTTCACGCAATCATTCAGTGAGACAATGTAGGCTTCACATGTTTCCTCACCCGATGACTCCCTGTACTTTCGCCAGAGTAACTGTCGAATGAACATGTGATGCGGCCTTCTGCTCCGAATAAAGGGCCTTACTCTCATCAAGGGTTGGAAAGTTCACTAAGATTCGGCGGTCGCCTGTTCATTTATCCTGACACTCCGGAGGCAACAGCGTGTCCACACTCAGACACCCCAAGTAGTCACGTACGTTACACACCTGTGTTGATATGTGGTCTAAGGAAAGTCTATGTTTGAGCGCTTGTGATTGGCGGGTGTCTGCGCCCCCCCCCCTCCTTCACTGCAGGTATCACGCACTGGATTAGCGATGACCTGATAGATGTTACTGAGAAACTGGTTGATTTTGTATTTGTGTTCTGGTTACCAATTTGTTAAGATTTCAGTAGAAGAGTGCTTCATACATCATTTCCGGAAAAGTAACTGTACTCATGTTCCTGTGTACGAGTAGACAAAGTAACACCTCATTGGTAGGTACCGACGTATGGATAGAGATCCTAAGTGCATGTCAAGACTTGTTTCAACTCGATTGGCGGAGTCATTCCGCACTACAGCGGTTTCTGTGAGGTCATGTGTTAATACCTCGTTACCTTCGTGGTGGGGCGAAATGTCGAACGACGGTAGGCTATCAAATTTTGTGTGAAACTCAAGAAGTCTGACACCGAACATTCAACGGAGGCTTATAAAGATACCATTCCATAAAGAAGTATCGTTTTTGGTGGCATAAAGCCTTCACAGTGGGTCAATAAAACGTTGTAAACTAACCTGGTTCCGGAAGTTCGATCCTGGCAACGAACGATCAAATTGTGGAGGTTGTGCGAGCTGTGTTTGTGTGAACGATGATCGCAAACATTTCCGAAAGCGGTGGGATTGCGCACAAAATATTGGTACTTCCAGGATACAGTTAATCAGGATTTCTACAAAGGTGTCTTGGAACGATTTCGAAAACGAGTCCAGGGAGTCCGGACATTGCAGATGAATGGGTGCTACAGGACGATTACACCTGTTCACATAAAGGTTTCAGAAGAAATGTTTTTGAGCGGAAAGACATCCCAACAATATTACAACCTTCCCACAGCTCTGACCTAGCTCCATGCGATTTCTACCTCTTCCATAAGTTGAAATCGAAGTTGAAAGGTCATCCTCATGGAAGCGTGGAAAACATCAGAAATAATGTAACGAATGAACTTAGCACTCCTACAGCAAATGCAGTACTGCCACGGCCAATGAAATAGACCTTGGAACCACGGTGTAACTTCCCAAGAGTCATACTTTGAAGATAACTTATAATTTCGGGGGAGTCTTACAGACATTAAGACAAAAAACTGTACGCTTACTTTTATGACACAAGGGTACTACAAACCACAGCCCCAGAGACATGCAGGCGCCGCAGTGTTATGGGTTGCCAAAATTGTACCATATAAGCGTCTCGCTGAGGCCAGTCCATGCATGAGCAGCTCCCCACAGCACAAGCTAGCTAAGTGTTTAGTAAAGCTATCGGAGCCAGTTAGGCAATTAATGGTTAAACACAGTCTGAGGGGTGTGTTCTAATAAGTGGAATTTTGGACAAAATCGAGATGTACGAAAAGTTCCCAGACAGTGTTGATATTGTTTCGGTTGACTAGTGTGTCACTAAACGATACGATCAAAATAATATGTAATCGTCTGAGTGAAAAGCAGCTTATTTTATTGTGCACTAAATATCGAATT